ATATTTTTGGATATTTTATGGCCAGAATGTGGCATGCTGTCATATCGCTGTCGGTATCGCTTGTAATGTCTCGAAATTGTCAATGGTCGCTTTTATCGTCTGCTAGTATCGTCTGCAGAAACACTCAAAATTATCGTCTGCTCCTATTGTCTGCTGCTACTATCGTCTGCAATGTTCATATTGTCAAGTAATCCTAGTTTTGCCGCGATTTGTTCCTTGGCAGAAACCCGTATTTTAGATATATGCGAACACCGTCGTTCGGATATTTTTGGATATTTTATGGCCAGAATGTGGCATGCCGCCATTTTGGGGGTTGATTCAAAGGAGAGCCGATCATTCTAATGTAGGCATCCTCAAGATCAAGAGTTGCTACCACTATCTCCTGTCTATTTTGGAACCCCTCATAAACATCAAAGGCAATCGTGGCCACATTTGACCAGGTATCTTTACCTGGCAGGTAACTGCCCAGACCTCTTGGCAAGAGCTCTTCTGAAGCTGTTCTGATGCTCAGGTTTAAGTAGAAAGCCATCTCCGTCAAGTCTTTATCACTCATGTCCTTCATGTGTGCATACCTGACTCCATCTGGCCCCTGAGCAGTGTCTTTTGCTTTCTGCAAGATATGTTTTATATCGTCCACACTAATAATCTCCTGATAGCAATTATCATTAATGGTTTGCGACAGATTATCCCTAATTGAATTTCTACGTTCCCTTTCATTATGATCAGTTTGTGCTATAAATCTTCATCTGATGCTAGACCCACAGTTTTCTAGACAAATCAGCACTCATTGGGTAATATGGTCCATGTCATACTGACCATCTTTACTTCCCAAGAGCTTACCTGGTACCAGTTTTAGGCTGGGTCAATTTGGGAGCCTAGGTGATTGAAAAAAAAAAACACACATACAGTATGGATTTGAACCCACAACATAGTGGGTTCCCCATCTGTTTATTTATGAGAACACAGTAGAAGTAGTTTTCACTAAATAATATGCTGTCCCGGGGAAGGTTAACCCAGTTTTAAAAAATTCCTGCAGAAGTCAGGTGTGTTGTCCGAAAGGCACAAATATCACACCCATGCTGTAGATTTGCACGACACAATGCATCTTCAGATAAACACAGAAGAAGAAAATATCCTGTCCAACCTTCAGGTTATGTCTGGGATATATATTGTTTCATAACCTTGAAAGTTGAACAGAACATATTGAATGTTAAAGAGTTCCCTGTGTCAGTTCCAGACCCCCATTTTCGGGAAGCAGGGGTAGAATTGATCCTCTGTCCTTTAACAAGCTTGTCATAAATGGTGACTACTTAAGGGTTTGCTGAAATCTGATGTGTTGTGCAAACATGCACAGCTATTACAGCCTAGTTGTAGACCACAAAACAGCATACCAACAGCCCTTTTAAGGACAGACATGGAATAAGAAGGCATTCAAAGTTAAAGAAACTAAGTCGGAGCTAGGTTAATGTTTGTTGACTTCCAGAGTTTCTAATGATTTGATGGCTTATCTTTGCCTTTTGTATTTTATTTTGATGCTTTCATGTTTATCTATATTACTACACAATTAGGTGCATAATTCCAGATCTTGGAGTGGGGTTTCACTCAGGGGGCTGGTGTATCTTTTGCTTAATTAATGATTTCACAGAAGATATCCATTGTATCACATACATCACAGAAGATATCCATTGTATCACATAAATCACAGAAGATATGTAGCTGTCTCATTGGTGAAGTGGTCAATCAGTTTGCCTCACAATCTGAAAGTCATGGATTCATTTGACTGTCATGTCATTCGATTTACAAATACACTTTAAACGGAAATCTCTGGGGATCATTGCTTGAGCTATGGAATCTATGCTTTGTGCGACACTCTTGGCAGGCAGCTAGCCTGGCAGAATGACCAAGCTATATGGGATAACCCTGTGCAATAACGTCAACCTCTTTGACTTTAAGAGAAGATATCCACACTATGGTTTGCAAATATTACTCTGACTATATTTTTGTTGATGAGTGTTGGGCTGAAAGGTTAGAATACTGACTTTTGTTTAAGAACTGGGTTCAAATCATTTGTAAGGTGGTGAACATTTTTCTTTCTGAGAAAAAAATGACATCTTAACCTACATAGTTTGTGGCAACTGCACTAGTCATGTAGCCCTAAATCAAGACCCTCTACCCTACACAACTGTGAAAAGTTGTAAAATAAGAGCAGTAAATACCTTTTTTTTTTTTTTTTACATTTATGTTTTCAAATAAAATTAAATGTATTATTTTAAAATTGTATATTAAGTGTTAAAGCATTGTCATTCAGGCTGGCACATTGACATATTTTGGAGAAACAACTGAACAGTCATTACGTCCCAAAGATGACCGGGTAAGATAGTTATGATAATGATTTCTTTATCTTCTGCCTTTTACCTACTAGTGAGGCATAAACTCTTAACCAACTTATGTCGCCCATATAAGGTTATCAGGGAATCACACTACCAGCATCCAAGCAAATGGGTGCCCCTAATGTTGCTTCATTCCTGTGCCAACAAAAACCATGTAAAATGTTCATCACTTTCTCTTGCGAAAGAAAATTTGACACAAACTGCAGTATTAGCAAATCCAGTAGCATTCACCTACATTATATGCATGAGACAGCCATCAGAAATGCCAACACAAAATTTGACACTAGAAATGCAGTTCATCATGGATGGAGGCAGCAGTTACAGATCAGTAGCTGCACATGCAATTTACCGCATAAGGCACCACCAATTCTGGGGCAATAGACCACTTGTTATTTTCTGAACAAACGCAAACCATATTCAGCATAATCAAAAAGCATTGCAAAAGAAATATGTAGCTCACTGTGTCATACCAGACATTTAGCACAGTAGCAGGGTGATGAAACTGTATACTTTCAGCCTATATACAGGGGAAAATATAGTAGGTAACTTTTGTCAAAAATAAAAACTTGCCACAACTTAAAACGTTAAACCTGCTTATCCGTCATATTGACAGGAAAGATCCATACCTACTTAGGACTGCAGATTATACCAGGCTGGTGTTGCCATTATGTGTGCCCCCGTTATAACTTCTCTTGAGGTTGAACTGGGCATCCAGGTTTTGCCCTGTTGGTCTGCCATCAGGATTGAGATTTTCTTACCTCAGGGTGTCAGACCTTCAGGTGACAGCCCGAAGTGGGTGACAAAATTGCACACATGCTGAGCTGTTTAGGTATTTGTTCTTGTTGGTTGGATTTTGCAGCTACAGTTGTCTAAGGGGGTTAACTCTTTCCACCCCAGCAGGTCATAGCTGATGCCTCAGTAAGTCAGTTATGACTGATTTGATTGACACCTCTCTGCACGATAGTTATATTACGCTTTGAGGAGGCATGGGACCCTCAGCCCATGGTGATGGTGAGTGCGATTAGCAAGACTGGCTCGCATTAGGAAATGTATTAAGGTCAAGGTAAAGTGCCCCCTGTCCATAGCACAAAGCCTGGGCAGTATTGTAGCGACTATATGTTGCCCATACATCATGATCTCTCTCTCAGAAGCTGCCAGATCAGAAGAACAGTGATCTAATCTGTCCGCCTGTTGGAGGTTCTTTCCTAGACCAACTGCCAGCCAAGGCAAAGGGCCTGGTCTGGTGAGTCAGCTGTGAAGTCAACAAAATAATGGGTGTACTACATCCACAGGGGCCAAATAAATATTCGCTGGGGGGAGACAAATATGTTGTTGAGTGGTTTAGCATGCCCTGACCAAACATAAAATGTACGAGCATAATAATATGTTAACTGGGGCATATGAGTAAATCCAGTCATACATGGTGTGTTGTTTGGGATTGAAAGATTTAAGTAACCAGCCTCAGCCAAATCTTTTTGGCTGGTGTGCCGGCATAGAGAATATATGGGAAGCCAGTAACACAAAGTAAAATAATAAGGAAAGAACCATTTTCATACTAATCGCAAATAATGAACATAGAGTTTGACCCTTATTTTTTATAGAGCAAGCCGCACTGGATGGGTGGTATGGTCAGCATCATGCTGGCTACTTTTACTTCTCAGGACATTTCCTAGTACCCATTTTAGACAGGGTTGACCTGGAATTTAAGGTCAGTAATAATTTGAGGTCAGTAATAATTTGAGGTCAGTAATAATTTGAGGTCAGTAATAATTTGAGGTCAGTAATAATTTGAGGTCAGTAATAATTTGAGGTCAGTAATAGAAACATCGACCTCCCACTAGCACATGAGTGACAAAAACTACTAAGTGCAGTAAATTAGCTTAAGTCATAAATAAAGTTCATTGTCTAATAAACAGATCCACTGGATCTGACTCATTTTTATGCAACAGGATATAATGGAAGGGAGAGCCAAACTGTAACATGATGTATAAAAGCAAGACAGGATGATGGTGATGATGAAAACAGAGAAAAGTCTCATTTATTTCAGGAACAGTGGCCCAGCTAAGAAATTTTTATTTAAACCACATGTGGTTCTGAAAAAAGTATAATCTTCAATTACTGTACATTGAATATAAGGCGGCTAGACCCATATTTGGTATAGAACGAGTGATATGGCCAACAACACATGGCCCCTGCTCCCCATACAAGTTCCTGGGCCCTGTTGTAGGCAAACAAGAATATACCCATTGCCTACCCAAAAGCATGTCATAAGAATCAACTAATTGGGAGCTTCCTTTATAATCAGAGTGCAACTGCCTGAGAGGCAAGGAACCAACAGTCTGCGTAGAGATCTGTAAAAACGGATGCGCATATAACACTTAGGCTCTGGAACAGAACTACAGGAGAAGACATAGCTGCTTCACTTCCCAGGACACTTCTTAGTGCTCATTTTAAACTGGGTGGACCTAATGTCTGCTTAGCATATTCCTTTTATACTTAAGGCAGTCACTCTCATAAGTTATTGCATGTTCATCATGATGCAGACTAGGCTAAGAACAATAAGGCACTAATTTCTTTGATATTTGTTTTATTTTCTCCTAAAATCAACAGCCTCCATCACCAGATGTCATTAGAAAATTTCGCTCCTCATTTCACCCTGATGTTGGCCAAATGCGAATATTTTATGGAAATGCCTATGACCCTCACAGACAGTGGGCAGCAGAAATGACCCATGGTGTAAAGACACAACAAGTGGTCAGTGCTAAAGAGATTGTCCAACCTGAATGTATGAGTCTGCTTCAGCAAACGCTTCATAACCTGTAAGTACTTCTTTGTTTATAAAAAAAAGGGGAGGCGGGAATACATGCTGTTGAAGATCTCAGTCCCTGTACAGGTTTAAGGGTCTCATTTTGGTGGAGAGAAAAACAAAGAATAGACCCACTGCTTCTTTATTAAACACGTTGTAAAAGAAAGCGGGTGGGAGGGGGGGGGGGGGGTTGTTTGTACTAAAATAAGATGTGTTGAACTGAAAGGCAAAGGTCTCGCAGCCTAGATGTAAACCTCATCAACATGCAAAAGGAGTCTTCATAGTACTATAAAACCTGTAAAATTTGAAGAGTATTAAAACTAGTGCTAAACTTAAAATATTTAAAAAGTGATAAATTATGGGGGTGACTGCAGTCAAGCTAATACCAAGGAATTCCAATGAAATGTGACTAAAAAGGTTAATAGAACAGGGTATCAGAAAAAACGTGCACAAAATGTTCTGTCAGGTGGCCTTTCTCGAACAAGTAATGAACTACACAACAATAACAAAGAGGAGAACATTCAAATCTCTAAGTGGTGATGTGAGCAACTTTTAAAAAAATGTGATGTGTAGTGAATGAAATAAAATACAATAAACGAAGGGTACAAAAATAGACGCAAAGAATGAAAAGTACTATTGTTAATATATAATATAATAGTAGGAATAAAAGAGTAAAAGAAATAAAAATTTTAATGATACATAAATGGCATTGATAAGAGATAGAATAAAGTAATAATATGAAATAAAATAGAATAAAACAAAATAATTAAAACTGAAAATGTGATAATAGTAAAACTGTTTAGGTGAAGGTTTGTTGGACATTGATGCCACCTGGACTAAGAACACCTATGCTGTGGATGAGGTGCGTGGTCAGATCACCCGAGCAAGATTTTAATGCTGTGATAGATATATCATCCTTTGTGGTCAGAGCTGTTAAAATGGAGAGGGATCGGTTTAAGTGCCTTCTTGTAAATATCAGAGAAGTGTTCCCAGAAACGATTAGCTAGCTTCCTACCAGTTTCCCCAATGTATGCCTTGTTGCATCTTTTGCAGATTATAGCATAAATTATATTGCGGTATTCACAAGTAAAATGTTCCCTAATTTGGAAAGAACCATTAGGGAAACTGACCGATGAGGTCTGGATATGTTTTCCCTGATGGAGGGGATAATGAGCAGAAGATGAATTATTGCACTAAATTATATACGTCTAGTGTTATATTACTATGCTAATTAATTTGAATATTACTTTGAATAGTGTGTTTTGATGTAGCTAGATTTCACAAACTGTGTTGATAAAAAAAAAAATTATTTTTTCTGTTATCCTAGTGAGGAAAGTTCCTACAGGAGAACACAGAAAGGCCCTCTAGGAAAATCGTATGACCAAATACCAGGCTTGCCTAAAGGATTAGACCCAATGAAGTTTACGTTTGGCATGCCCACACCATTGGGTAAGTCTAGAGTCAAATTTATTTGTTGAAAATATCTTTATATACAAATGTCTTCTTATGCCTAAAGGCGTGGAAAAGGGACCTTTACTTACTATTTAAATAGAAAGTGAACAGAAGGGCCCGTTCCAGAGATATCTTCCTGCAATGACGCATTTCAGGAGTTGAATGTTGGAGTAGAGAAAAGAAGAAGAAAAAGAATAAATTTATGGTGAATTGCCTGCTAATGAAAAAGAATTTAACAATATAAAATTACAGCCAACAATAATTATAAACAAAACATGAGCATTTATTTGAACTATCAAGTGATCATTTCAGATATTGGAGCTGGCGCTTTGATCAATCCAAACAAGAACTGTGACCAAGTTATCAAAGAAGCAAGTGACAACCATGACATGTATGTGAAGACTCACGCAGACTTCTACCCCCTGGAGAGAGTCTGTCGCAACTATACCAGCTCCAACTTTCATCCTCAGGTGAGAGTTGTGACTGAAGTCAGACCATGTGAGTTATCTCCACTTTTCCCATGTTGGTTCTGGTGTCCCATTTTTGGAGAATAATGAAGAGACACCTGACACTCCCCCCCTCCCCCAACAAACATGTCATAAAAGGTGACTAATTTAGGATTTGCCGATATTGGATATTTTGGGCCAAAAGATGTAGATATCACAGCCTAGCTACAAACTACAACACGCTAACCACTTTTCTTTTAGGACAAACACAGACGATCTCTACCTAACTCTATATATCAGGTTTTTTTTTTCAGTACTGCCTAAGTGGGCAGATTTTAATAACAACAAAATGAAATGTTATTTTGACGCCAAAAGTTTATTTTGGTTTAGCACACTGGCTGGCTGGCATGGTGCATATTGATTCAAATCTTCCAGGTCAAAGTCTTAAAGGGACACCAGGAAATATCCTAGAAAGACAAGATGACCACATCGTCCAGTCCAACAAGACAAACCCAAAACATTACTGTTTTGTGTACATCTGTTTTACAGATCTGGTTTATTTGTGTGTGTCTGTTGGTTCCTTGCTTGTCGAGCAAATATTTTTTTTACTTTGAAGGAAACATCGGTCCTATCTATGTTGGTGTTGTAGTTCTATCTCAGTGGCGCGTACTGTGTAAATTAGCTGGAAGACAAGAGGTCAAAAGTCATACGTGCTACACATTTTAAATGAACCAGGGATGTTTTTTTTAGGTCAGGATGAAACTGGTTCTTAAGGGAAAACTGAATTTGGGGTGGCAAAGGTAGGTAATTCCTGAAAACAGGTAGAATTTATGTGAGAAGGAGTGTGTGTATGTGTGTGTGTGTACATGTGTGCCTGCGAGCGTATTATTAAGGAAAATAGGGTTTTGTCAACTAGTTCACAGTTAGATTAGAATAACGGGAAGTGTTAATTCTTATAGTATAAACTATGAGAAGAAATTTGTGTCTTACGTGAGAACGTATTACATTGTTAAACAGGTGAATGAAATTATAAGAATTCATTTAATTTTGGGGATAGAATTCAGAAGCAGAGTCAACTGGAGAAGAGATGAGATTTGGCCAGACATAGTCTTTCCAGAGTTTTGCGGAAAGGCTGGGCGATCTGTTTTTTTTTATGTATACTGAGTGAAGTGTTTTAATTAATAAGTTGATGGTGAAGATAACAGAGACTTTTTATCAGATATACATAATCGTTATCATCTCTTGACGTGTAATTTTATGTGGCCTGTCACAAGTCGTTATTGTTGACTCTTCAAGGAAGTCACAGTTGTGTTTGATGCTGTTGGGCCCGTTATGCCAAGGTGTTTAATTATGCAGTACTGCAAGTATTAGCAGCACATCCATCAAGGAGAGATCCAGCGGCACATCAGTGTAGGCGCCCTTGACCTACATACCTGGTTGGTTTTCAGATTAAAAGTATCAATGCACAATAACATAAACGTTATAGGAACTAATATCAACAAGTGGTCTGTATAACCATAGTCTACACAGGGACAGTTAGGCAGGCTCCCGATTAGGAACCTTATTGTAGGATGACAGCTTTATATACATACATACATACTTACACACATACATACATATAGACATCCAAGCATACAGAGAAACACAAGCACACACAGACACACTTACGCACACACTGACAGACATACACACACACACAGTCGTGCACACAGACACACACACAGAGACAGACACATGCAGACATAGACATACACACACAAATAGACACACACGAACACAGACATACAGACACACACACATGAACACAGAGACACACACACACACAGACACAGACATACACACATGGATGTAGACATACACACACAGAGACGGACACCCACACAGACATATACACACACAGAGACAGACACACATATGCAGACACCCACACACAGACAGACACCCACATAGACACACATGGACTCAGACATACACACACAGAGACAGACACACAGGCAGACACACACACATACATAAGGAGAGGTGGAGGTTGGTGTTGACCTGTCTGAGCCCTTGTGCTGGTTCACCACCACATGTAGTTCAGCACATTGCATAATGTAAATGAAAATAAGTTTATAGAAGTCTCATACTGAAAGTAATGATAATGAGGAAGAAGAATATTAGAGCGGTTTGATTATTTGGACAAAATATAAAAGCCAAAATGGTCTCTTCTCAGAACTGCTATGGCCTACCCACTCCTCACTGTAACAGTGGCAAAACGATGAAGGAGTCCTTGAAGCTATTTCAAGAAACACGGGATGACCTGGCTACCAAAATTGTCAGCAAACGCTTGGAAGATTACAAGGAAAAGTATCAACCACAGCTGGGGAAACCAATTGATCCGTAAGTTTTGGCCGCTGTGTAAAATTGTTGTGCTGCTTTTTGCTGTTGCTACTTCTTCTTCTACGCTAACCTTTAATTCCTTTGCAGCCACTTCCCCTACAGTAAGTGTGTACTACTGTGCCAAATAAGGTCAGTGCAGACCCTTTCTCCTTGCTGAATATTTTTTTCATCCTCCAATAGCAAATGACGCATCAGTGGTGCTGTACATTTTTCTTTTACACAGACAAATGTAAATGCTCAGTCTGGAGACACCAAGAAAACTTGCCTGTACAGAAAGGAAGCACTACACACTTAAAAAGCAAACACTAAAAAATACAGTACGTAAGGGGAGCTTTTTAAAAAAAAAAAAACCATTTCAAGTTTTTCAGATGGACTCAATGAAACATAGAAGCATGTCAGTATGATCTACTGAGCCCATACATTTGTTGTAATCCACAGCACAGTTTGGCGTTAAAATATTTATTGCAGTTTCTCTATTTATTTGTTCTGTTGCTAATAATTCTGAACTGTGGCATGTTGTTACAGGGCCAACTTTCCTCCTCCCCTAAAAATTTGGTAAAATTTTGAGTTATTTTTATCTTCATCGTACTACTGTTGTACAGAATCAAGGACAGTTTGATAGTTCCTCCCGATCACACATTCGGAGCCATTCACAAACCCAGCCCCTTTGGAGCCGGGGATATCATACATAATCGTCAGTTGGATAATATCCTCAAGGGAAAAGAGAGTCAAAGAGGTGTTGTGGCTGCAATGAGACAACAGCTGAAGAAACTCAACTATCATCATTTTAATAACCTCCTGGATGCTTTCAGATTTTATGATAAGGTGAGAAGTTGGGATATTACATTAGTTGTCTGTTATCAGATGAAGCTGAGATGAATTTTTAAAAATAATTTTATTCATTAGAAAATGAGTATATCTGATAAATTTTGCATTCCTTACACAATACATGATATAAAACTGATTGTGTTGGATAGAATTGAATGAAATTTTCTGAGAGCCCTATGTGGCATAAAAATAATACAACAGACAGATGGTGAATATGAATTTTAGTTTTATGTTAAAATAAGCATACTTTAAGATTGTGTGGTATGGCCCAAACTGTTCTGTTATGTGCAAACCTATAGTCAAGAGCATTTTGACTTTAATATGCATTCATACTATATGTAATTGCTGTGCATTTATTACCTTCATATAAAACACCAAAAATGTATTAAAACCGTATTACTTGGTTATCAATAGTCAACACACAAAAAGCTTCTTATTGAGGACTTCTTGGAATATGATATGTCTTCCATAGTTTTTATAGTGAAAATATGGGGGTGACTGCAGTCTAGCTAATACAAGGAATTCCAGAGAAATTTGACTAAAAAGCTCAACAAAATGGGGAAGCAGAAAAATGGGCACACAACAACACAACGTAACGTTTCAACTGGGCGGCCTTTTTCAAACATAAGTGAACTACACAAACATAACAACGTGGAGATGAGAGTATGTAGATTTCCTAGGGGTGACATGAGCAACGTTTAAAAAAATGTGGTGTGGAATAAATGAATTAAAATAAAACAAACGATAGCTAAAAAATATAGTCACAAAAAAATAATAAACCGTAGTATTGTTAATATATAATATAATACTGGGAATAAAAGAAATACAAATGTTAATGAATATTGAAAAGATTGCATAAGATAAAATAACAAAATGTGATGTATAAACTGCACAGCATGATGATGATTCATTATATAAGGCAGAGTTACAGTAATTAGGGCACTTAACAGGTTTTGCATGATAATTTGGATAGGTTGAATGTTTGAAGGGCCCTACATTTATTACACTTGACTTATATTTCAGGATGGGAAAGGAAAAATTACTCTGTCTAACCTTCATGATGTCTGCATGAAATACAGACTTCCTGTAGACATAGATATATTAGATAAAGTTTTTGATTACTGTGATGTTGATCGGGATGGAATGATCAATTACATCGAATTTTGTAACTTCCTGAACTGGAAAGATAAGATGCCAACAGGATTAGATGATCTAGGAGGTAAGTTTTTGTTTTATCTCTTCACTGTTTATCACTTATTAGAGGTCTCTGTGACATATTCTTCTTCTTCACGTTCACCAGCTGTAAACTTTGGCAGAAAGTTCTGGTTGTTCATCCACTTTTGGACTGCAGTTCTGTTCCAGAACCTGAGTGTTGCGTGTGCATCCGTTTTACAGATCTGACTCATTTGTATGCAGACTGCTGGTTCCTTGCCTGTCAGGGAGATGCGCTCCGACTTCGAAGGAATCTGTCACATATTGATCTTATTCTTCGTCTTCCCTGTCACGGCTGTAAACTCCAGCAGACAGCTGGATATTTGTTCACTTCTGGACTTAAGATTTGTTCCAGAGCCTGAGTGTTGCAAGCACATTTGTTTCACAGATATGTGGATGCGGACTCCTGGTTGTTGGTCTTAGGCAGATGTACTCAGTTTTAAAAGATGCTCCTATTTAGTTAACTTATATGACATGCTTGCTGGAAAGGCAGTGGGTATATACTTGTTTTCCCAGCAATGGGACCCTAGAATCCAGTCAGGATGATAGTTAGTTAGTTAGTTGAGAGATTGTCCTCATTGCACATCAAACCATTCAATGCATAAGTGCCCAGATCCCCTCCTGGTTCAAGTAATGAAGTCGGGCCCAGAAAGAGAGTGACTTTCCTACAGTCACTCTCTTTCTGGGCCCCACAATGTTACAAGCATCCCCCTCCTCAGTAAATCCCTCAGCTTTTAGCAGACGATGACACCAGTCCTGTGTTAGTTTCTGATTTGTCTTTGGCTTCTTGCATAGTGCTCTTCTCTGGCCAGGCCCCTTTTAACATGCTGTTGTTGCAGTCTCATCATGGTTTCAGATTCACAGTCATCACTTGGTTCTTGCAAACATCTTGCTTCTCATAGAGCATTTAGTATATCAGTATGGTCCATGGTATGTCCACCCGCCATGATATCTTTACCTGCAATCCTATCTGCCTGTTCATTTACTTGCATGCCTGTGGGCCCTAACATGAAAAGGAAACTGATATGCATCAGCCTTGACAGTCTCAGAGACTTCAACCACTGTCTTTGAACCTGGCCCATCTCTTTTTTCCTGAGCATACTTATTAGGTCACTGAGAAAACACAATAATGTTGAAGTGATCATGTTATTTGCATCATGCTGTGAAAGTCATTGGTTTGTTTCCTGGGTGCACAATTCACTTCACATGTGCAGTCTTTATGGACATCCCTGGGATTGTCACAGAAGCTACAGAGTTCATGCTTAGTGCAACTCTCGGCAGATGATTTGCCATTCTGTGGAGAGAGTCTGAGCCATGAGCCATACGGCAATGAAGTAAATCCTCTTGACTTTAACTTGCCTCATCAGCCACAGGTCCTTTACAGAACTCGCTCTCATCACGGCACACCTGAAAGTCTCTCTTTCTCTAGATGGCTGAAATAAATCCTCATGGCTTGTCTGATACAATTCTTATATTGTACATGAAATACAGCCTTATGGAGGAAATCACGGTGTATGTAATAATTATTTTGCTCACCTAGATGCAGATGATACATGATAATAACTAGACAGGTAAAGGATATAAACTCCCGCCACATACAAGTTGGTATTATGAAAATCAAACGAGCGGAAATATATAAGTACTTGGGTGCAAACTTCAACTGCTTCAACATGCTGAGAAAAGAAATACAATCTAGAATACAATCTGGAAATAAAGTATACTATGCCCTTCAACATCTGCTAAAGTCAAAGTGTCTGTCTCGCAACACCAAGATCAAAATATAAAAAACGTTGATAAGACCAGTCATTTTATATGGCTCTGAAACTTGGAGCACAACTAAAAGAGATGGAGCCTTATTACAGGTTTTCGAAAACAGAGTCTTACAACGAATCTTTGGACCCATCAAAGATGCAAACAGCGGTGAATGGAGAGTGAGAAGCAACAACGAAATTCATAATATGTTTAAATTACCACTAATCACTGGCATCTTGAGAGCTAATAGACTGAAATGGTTGGGGTATATTGAGAGAATGTCAGATGACAGAGAAGTAAAAACTGTATACACAAGGGAGATGAATAGTCGTAGACCACGAGGCAGACCAAAAAGACGATGGAGAGATAATATCCAATCAGACCTGCAAACACTTGCTGTCATCAACTGGAAAGAGAAGGTCAACCATAGAGATGAATGGAGGGGGGTGATATCTGCAGCAATAAACCTCAAAGGCTTGGAATGCTGAAGAAGAAGAAGGATGCAGATGTAAGACTAAACGATGTGTTTGGCCATACTGCTAGAGTTTTGGCTGCTTGAAAGAGTAAAAGCCATCTTTCCAAAACTGCACTCTCGTCTCTTCTAGCAAGTGGAAAAGAATGACGACAATCCCATGTACCCAGTATGATCTCAGTTTGTAGTCAGGTTTTTGCCACAAAGTTGCTGGGTGCTGGTAGTAATTCTATACACTGAAGCAGTGGGCTCTGACTACCAGGAAATTGCAAACTAGACAAACTCGGAATTTCCTTAACACAGGGATATCCTTCTTTGTCATCTCTAAATAAAACAACGTAACTCTTGACATAACTAAGCGAGGAAAATCAAAGGGTAAAAAAGGGTGGTATGTCATTCAAGGTATAATTTACTTAAAGCGGCGTCTTGCAACAGTGAAACATAAAAACCTATGCTTACCGGCACAGCACGTAATGATGATAAGAAAGGTTGAGATCATGAGCTTGAGGATTTAAGAAATATGGCTAGTTCAATTGCCATGAGCTGTGCAAGTTAAGAGTTTTATTTGTGCCCCTGACAGAAGCAAGATCTGTCCCTTATTGAGGATCAGACACAGGTGTCTTGCTCATGTGAGACCCAGCACTAACCAATCGGCCAGCCACTGGCAGTACACATGGGGATAAGCCATCTAGTCATGCTTCTTCACCTTCATGGCCTGGCAGGAGGCTCTGGTTGTTTGTTCACTTCTGAACTTTGGTCCAGATCTCCATTATTTGTGTAGACTGTTGGTTCCTTGCTTCTCAGGCAGATGCACTCTGACTGTAAAAGAAATCAGGTCATATAGTGTGCAGTGATGGAACATGAAATGAAGAGACTGTGATGCCTGAATGATCTTCACATTAATGAAGGAAGCAAAGATTTATCTCATATGAATAATCAGATTGGTATTTTGTAATTATTAGTGATCTGGGATATCTTAACTCTTATATCTGCTGCTGTCATAACATTTGATATGAAGTTAGAAATTCAATAGGGGAATATACACGAGATCTTCTTCTGTATTAATCAGAAGAAGTAAATGTGTTGTGCCCATTTACAAGATGTCAGCAATATTTGGGCCTTTTCGGCCAATATATCCGACTTCTGCAGGCATTTGTTGTCAGGGTTAGCTTCATGGGTTACTGCAATCTCACTGATGTGTGGTCATCTTTGTTTCCTAGTTCACCTGTGGAGCCACCCACCAGATCTTTCTACAGCAGCCACATAATGCTACACAGCTCTTAAGTGAAGGCAGGGGCAGAACATGAGCATTTCCCTGCTATCCGAGGAGGTTTACATAAATTCAGAGCCAATCCAAAGAATTGTCACATCCTGCTCATGACTGTTTAACCTCACCTCCATATATTGGGCCTCACCTTCATCATGGGCTAAGCCTTTAGAAGCCAGCAGGAGACAGTCTGCGGACCTAGGACTTTGATTGCCTCACAACATGAGTACTTTGCTTCTTATGCATGTTAGACTTTTACTGCAGTTGGACTTCCACATCCATTACAGTTTAATATGACATTTTCCACATAGATGCCTATGGACATTCATTGTGATAAACAGGAGATTAAATGTGAGATAATTTGTAAAAAAAAAAAAAATGAACATGATATTCAAGTCGATTTCAATTAATCAAAGTCCTAATTATTTTTTGTGTTCATTCATTTTTATGTGCCAGTATGACAGCAGCCACACTGTTACATAGATGAATGAGTTTAACATAGTCCAAACCAGAATTATAAATGTCTGTTTTACATAATAAGTTGCTATGCTGATTATTTTTCTAGCACCACCCGTGCTCCTTGGTGCGGATAATGAGGAATCATTCCAGAACCCACCAGCGAAACTGATTGATGAGAAGAATTTGTTGCCCAAGACACCTCAGACAAATGAAGTCACTGTACAACATCTGCAGAAACAGATAGACTTTAATGTAGGCGATCATTTTGTATCCAGCAGTAGGTACAATGCAGTTGTTGGCCCTGGAGGAATTCCAACTGAAGGTAAGTGATGATTGTTTCCCTGTTCATCATTTTATAGTTCAACATCTGCTTATTCAGCACCAAGCACTTCAAGTATAGACATTCTGAGCTCATTATGAATCAATGTTCCATTCCCATTTATTCAGACATTATTATTTCTATTTTACACACCCCCCCCCCCCCCCCCCAATCATTATCTTTTTCTTTCTGTCATTGTTATTATTTTTTTATCATTTGTTCAACAGCTCTTCATATTCCAACTTTTCATTCTTTCTCTACATGGCATTCCTGTTTGGGGATAGGAGATTCTATTTGTGTTTTAGTTGTTGACAAAGACTTCAATAACGTGATAACAGTATAAATAGAACATCTTAGCACTGGAATCCACAGAGTAATAACACCAGGCTAAAATCACATCGAGAAGGGCACTAGAGAGCAAAGTTTAATTATGGGGAGGACATAGAGGGACCTGCAAGCAATAGCAAAGGATATGATAAGTTGGCGTGAGTTGTTGAGGGCCTATGCTCCAATAGGGGATAGGAGTAGAAGAAGGAGAAATAAGAAGAAAATGAAGAAGAAAATATGTTGGTCCTTGTTCTGTAGCAGTTATCAGCTCAAGGTTCAAAGTCCATAGCAAACAGGTCACCCTATAATGGCTCCATTTCTGTGCCAATAAAAACACCACAAAATGTCTATCAGTGTCCCTTGTACAAAAACAAAAAATGTGACACAGACTGCAGTCTCAGCAAAACTAATATCATACACATGTATTAAATGCGTAAGGCAGCTGTCAGACATGACAGCACAACCAGTCTGGCACTAGAAAGGTAGTTCATCGTTTATAGAAGCAGCAGCTACAACAAATCAGTAGTTGCACCTACATTCAATCACATGAGGCACCAACAGTTCTGTGGCAAAAAGCTACTCGCCATTTTCAGAATCTACAGTTCACAACATAAACCATGCTGGGCACAGTCAAAAAGCATTCTAAATGAAGTCTGCACTTCACAGTGTCGCGCCATGCACTCAACTTAGAAAGTGGGCGATGAAACTAAACATATGGAGAAAAATACAACAGCTAACTATTGTCAGAAGCAGAAACTTGTCACGACTAAAAATAGTAATCCTGCCTATACAACATATTGACCAGAAGTCAATGAACACTATTCCTCCTTGCCACTATCTTAGATCATCTATTATAATTTCTGTTTGTCTATCTCCACCTATTTTACTGCTGATCTTTCCAGCCATTGTGGTATTCTGTTTTGCCCTTCTTCTCAGTACATGACAAAAAAACAGTGTCGGCCATTTCTATAGCTCATTTGATTATTTTCTTAATTTTTGCAGCATTTCGCACTTATGGCATCCCGACAGTTCGATCTGATCTTCCAGCCCCACATGTCAAGCGCCTGCAAGACAGAAATAATTATGGGGACGAGGCAAAAATGTATAGCCTGTTGTATCCTTCCTTGTACAGCCAGCATAATGTCTATGAAAGAGATTTACTACAACCAAGATCTTATGAGGAGGTGAGAAAATGCTAAATGGCCATTACTATCTATTATCTAACTTCATTTTATTTTTTTCCAGCCTGTATAGCTCAAGTTTGACCCAACCTCATAAAGGAGGGGACCAGACAATTCCAGAATGTTTTGGGAATTATCTGGAAAGTAAAGGCAGGGAGGAAGGAAACCAACCGCCCTACCTCATATATTGTGGCCTAGAATGTGTAAAGGCCTGAATCTTCATATCTCAGTGGCAGTATCTGCAAAGGGATGATTGTATTACAGGCACTTGGAGGGCAAGATGATAAGTAAGGGAACTAACCAAACAACCTCATGTATAATGAGCTAGAATATACAAAAGCCAAACACTTCACATCCCAGCATTATGGGACTATCTTATCTTTTTTTTTACCATGTTGTTATTCAGGCTGTGAAAAAGTGAATCAATAACTGATATCACTGCACTCGGGACATTCCCGCACATATTTTTCTCTTCGCAGTAGTCAACAAAAAGTTCCAGTACCTATGGTGCCAGTTTGGAAACTGATGAAAAGTCCACCTGTCTTTTCTCTTCAGCACTGAATACTGTTAAGATCTCTTTCCAGGTATAGATACTCTGTCTGTTCTGTTACACTGTCCATTTGATTCCAGAGAGCCATCACCACTTCCACTTTATCATGAAGTAGCTCATAATCCAGAGGAGTGGTGCAGCCAGTCTTATCAGCCAGCTCCTTACCTCACACACCAGTGGGTCCTGGACAGAAAATCCACGAAATGCTCCTGATCTAAGTCTTATCAAGTGATGCAAGCCACTGTTCTTCATAACGCATCAGTTTCTTTTTTCTGTAGCATTATCTGTGAGTCCATACCAATTACACTATGTTGGGCTGTACTGCTCTCAAGCCATTAGAAAGTTACTTGAATGACCTGAAGAACTAGGGACTAGGGTTGACTTGATGCTGTCCAGATAAACAGGACCTTTAGGGAAGCAAAGAATAATAACACTGCACCTTACCATGCATGTCGTAAGAAGCGACTGTGGTGTGGTTGGGCTTGGCTACCTCAACTTGAGCCGCAAAAGCTGACATGCTATAAACAAGCCTTAAAAGAAAAAGCACATAGAAAAGAAAATATGATGGGCTGGATTAATAGAAAAGAGAATATGATGGGGTGGATAAATAGAAAAGAGAATATGAGGGGGTGGATAAATAGAAAAGATAATATGATGGATGGATAAATAGAAAAGAGAATATGATGGGCTGAATAAATAGAAAAGAGAATATGATGGGGTGGATAAATAGAAAAGAGAACATGATGGGGTGGATAAATAGAAAAGAGAACATGATGGGGTGGATAAATAGAAAAAAGAATATGATGGGGTGGATAAATAGAAAAGAGAACATGATGGGGTGGATAAATAGAAAAGAGAACATGATGGGGTGGATAAATAGAAAAAAGAATATGATGGGGTGAATAAACAGAAAAGAGAATATGATGGGGTGGATAAATTGGACGATGATGGACAATGATATTCGGCTTATTTTTATCATGACCTTTTTTCCTCTAAACATTTCACTTTAAAGCAGCAGAGTTGGGCTATGACAGAGTTAAAATGTAATACATAGGGCACAAGCAGTTGAACTACAGTTTGGATACAATGAGTTAATGTAACTAACGCCTGCAGTAGAAGAAAGTAAACAAAGTTAATTCTGGGCTAGGCAATGATCATTGATGACTTGCTTGGTACATAGAGTGTGAAGTGTAAGTAAGTAAAAGTAAAGAAGTGAGTGGAAAGAGTGTGAAGTTTAAGTAACAGTAAGGAAACGAGTTACGTAAGTGTTAAGTGTAAGTAAAAGTCAGTGAATAAGTTGTTATTAAGTGTAAATATAAGTCAGTATGCAGAGCAATGCATTATCTCCTTGATCTTCCAATTATGGAAGTGAGAACGGTGATCTGGACAGCATGTGCGTATCTAAATACCAGTGCTGAAACACACCAGATTCGCAGGAAGAAGGGTAACAGGTTGAAACAGGGAAATCTTGTTTGCATTATTTAACAAGTTTGTTTATTGAGGACAAAGAACCTAGCGAGGAATGCATATGAGTGCCAGCAGAGTTGATACATCCTTTTCAGTCTGCATAAAACTGGGTAGAGATTGCAAACAAGGCACATTGGTGGTTGAGGCAGAAGTTCAAGCCTTAATTCTAACCACAATGTAAGTAAAAGAAAGGAAGCGGGTTCCATAAGTGTTTAGTGTAAGTAAAAGTAAGGAGCTGGGATAGCTTAAGCAATGGAAAACGTGGAAAGCACACTTAGTAATCAATTCATGGTCATAGGTTGAAACCTTCATCGAGGATTCTAAAAATGGACCTGAACTTTTGGGTAAATCCAGCCTAAAATGAGCACTAGAAAATGTTATAGGAAATAAAGGCAGATACAGTTTCATTGATCACAAGTGTCATTTGGTCTATACAAATAGGCAGCTACATGCCATATATGCTCAGTACGTCTCAAGGGGTGGAAACAAAATTTCCTTAACTCTTTCAGGCCCATGAATTTTGACAGACTGCTCACGTGAATTAATTTAATTTCTCTTTAACAAAATGGCAGAGAGGTGGTATTTAAAAAAAAAAAGGCAATTGAGAATGTAATATAATTTGTATCCCTGTAAAATACATATTTTTTTAAAATGAGGAATGAATGTAAATTTTGAATCTGATGATATAGTTTTATTTAATTCTTTTATAATTAGTAGGGAAAAAAGGAATTCAGCAGGTATTATGTTTACAAAGACTAAATTTTACTAAAAAATCTTCACTTACTATGGTTTTGCAGCCACAAGAGCAATGAATATCCAGTAAATTTGAGAATAAAACTTTATTCAAACTTCTACTAAGTTTCCTAACAAATTCAAAAGTTATGAGACTTTTCTGTGTTTACTTCTCACTCAGAGGCTCTATGTTTTCATAGCTGCTTAAAAAATTTTTAAAGAAAACAAAATGACACAAATTGGACCTATAGTCCTATACACACAAAATTTTGACTTTGTAGTTATATACAGATTGTAGCTGCAAAAATTTCAATGCAGCTTAGCCACAGTGTGAGTATGGTACTGTCTGAAACAGTCCTAGGGATGCAAATGCGGGTGACTATCACATCCTTTGCAAAATAAAATGGGTCCTCCTGGATTTACTTCAGCTGCTCAGCTGCTGCTGGTGTGAATTCACTGTCTGAATCACTTTCCGAAAAATTTAAGTTTGTCATTATCACAGTTAGAAAACATCAGATTGAAACAATTTCAGAGCTTTAGCCACGGAAAGTCACATTTTTTGGGGGCTGTATTCGGAACATGGCCAGTTGAACAGAAAAGTAATGCATCGTCTGAAAAAATGACACTAACAATGAATCAGATCAATTTGCACCCACATGTGTGCAAATTCAGGCCTGTACACAAAGAAAAATGTTAGATTAACCTTCCCTGAATATTTTAAGGGTAGTTCCGTACATTAGAAATAAATACTGAGCCGTTTGCAAATCAGTATGTACTGGACACATGATCAGCACTGACAGTGTTGTTTGGGAAAATTTGAACTTCTCAAACAACACTCACAGTGTTGCTCGGGCCTTAAGAGAGTTTAAAAGTATATAAAGAAATCAAGATATTTGAAGATCACACATTTTGCATCCTCAAAAGTAACCTATAACTATTTCTGCTGTTCAGATTTGGTCTATATTCACAAACATTGGAGTCAGAATGACTGGAGAGGAGATGGAGAAAGCTTACAAAAAAGCTGCCAGCAGTCACCCTAAAGGCTTCGTAAGTGTGGAATCTTTCAAGAATGTATTAGATGATGTTCAGGTCAGTCAGATCAGAGCTGGAATACACCCAGTGGCATTAGGTCAAGCTCAGATGCATTAAGTTCATACTCAGTAGATCAAATGGGAATGCTCCCGGTTATTGTGCGTTTGTTTGAGAACATTTCCCTTTTAAAATTACATTAGATCATTGCGGGAGAACTGACAGAGGTGGTGACACTTTTTTTAAATTAAGTGTGCGTGCTTTGTGAATTGCTAAAATGCTTTGTTTTACAATGATTTGTCAAATCTGCATTAACTAGTATTATGTCTTTCAAGAAATATATATATATATATTTATATATATATTTGGGGAAGGGGCGTTTGGGTAGGGAGGGATTTGCAGAAGTGTGACACAATTGCTTTTTATTAATTCACAATGTTTTTGTGTGAATAGCAGTTTTTTTTAAAAATTGCTTTACAGTTGCATATTTTACAAACTGCCTTAACTAGCAAGCTGTTTATTATATTAAACAGGAAATATTAAGTCTTTCAAATTTAAGTTAGTAGATTTTTTAATTTGCATGTGTTGCCAGTTTTCTATTGTTCATATAGTTTGTGAGCTGCTTACATTTTTACAGTGTGTTTCACAATAATGAACACTCAAAACTGCATTTAACTTGTGAGATTTTTATTTTATTTTACACACAAAATTATGTCTTCCAACAAAATACAATTTTTTAATCTTTTGGATGTGTGCACACATGTGGATAGTTTTATATTACTTGAAGACTTTTTAAAGTTTTGGTAAACTACAGAAATTTAAAAACTGTTTTCTAATTATAGTCTTTAAGTGAATGCATTTGATTCGCAAAATATGTATTATATTTATCATACTCTTCATTGCCAGCAGTGGTATAGGTCTGAGTTCACACCTCAGAAAAGGGTACTCTGGGGTAAATGGAGGAACGTCGCTGTAGCTACAGAGTTACGTGTGGCCGGCAACACAGGTGGACAATTCTTATCAGCTGTCCATACTGGTGGCAGAGCACTTATAGTTTATAACCATGTGCAATGAAGCTGGTTTACATCTCCCGACTTTACTTTTACCTCAGAAAAGGCCAGATTTTTCCTGACCAATACCATTTTGGGGTCAGTCCAGCCTTATGCTAAATTTAGACATAAGCTAAGAAGTAAGCTAAAGCTTAAGGCCTCGCAGTCTGCATGGGCCTAAAAAAATTCCCATGCAAGAAAAAAATTTCATTATAATTTAGAGCCTTTTTGATAGTTAAAATATAACATCTGGTGTTTTTCAAGCACATTTTTTTTTTATTATTTCTGTAATAACAATTAAGCAACAGTATTTTTCCATTATCCACATATTTAAAAAGCATATATATTTTAACACTGTGAGATTAGCTGGTGTCCAACCTCTTAAAAAATGGGTACCATAATTTTCTGAATATTTTTTAGGGGGAAAGAAGAATCCTATGGCCTAGAACAGAAATTCCCACCTAGCTAAGACCTGCAGACGTCTCCTATTTTTAAGGTCTGCTACAGACCTCATACTTTTTAATAGTCATCCTGAAGAATTATCATAAGAACCTACCCCAAGTATAAGACAATCTTATATATGAGACATACCTTGATTTTGGAACCAGAAGTTTAGAGGGAAAAAGAGAATATAATTGCATAAAGATCTACTACCAATGTATATGATGTACACTGTTTTTAGACCCAATATTTTTTGAAAACAGATATGTCCCATACTTGAGAAAATGCGGTATTATTTATAATAGAATCACAGAAAGGATTATTTTCCAAAATTGAGGGCTGTTGTGTAAATATCATGCTATGGGGCTACATTTGTGGAGAAAAAGGAGTGGGGGGGGGGGGGGGGGGTGGGGGGGGCTTACTGTTGGGGGGATATCTGCTGTGTGGGGGAACGCAAAGATGAAGAAGTGAAGAGTAAACATCATCATGGTTTATTAAATTTATTCCAGAGGTCCACCAAATGGAAAAGACTGGCATAGAATAGGTAAAGGCCTAACAATCCACATACCAGTGTCTGTATCGGCAATGGTATTAACTCTACCTTTGTCACTGTCTTGATGTAATTACCTCCTCCTTTATCTGTCTTGATGGTATTACCTCCTCCTTTATCTGTCTTGTTTGGATTACCTCCTCCTTTTTCTATCTTGATGAGACTACCTCCTCCTTTAGCTCAGTCTTCATGGGATTACCTCCTTTTTTCTCCAGTCTTGATGGGATTACCTCCTCCTATATCTTTCTTGATGGGATTACTTCATCCTCTATCTATCTTGATGAGATTACCTTCTCTTTTATAAGTCTTTATGAGATTACCTCCTCCTTTATCTGTCTTGATGGAATTACCTCCTCCTTTATCTGTCTTGATAGTATTACCTCCTCCCTTATATGTCTTGATGGAATTACCCCCTCCTTTATCTGTCTTGATAGTATTACCTCCTCCTTTATCTGTCTTGTTTGAATTACCTCCTCCTTTGTCTTGATGGGATTACCTCCTCCTTTGGCTCAGTCTTCATGGGATTACCTCCTCTCTTTTTTTTCCAGTCTTGATGGGATTACCTCTTCCTTTAGCTCAGTCTTGATGAGATTACCTCCTCTTTTTTGTTCTTTCTTGATGGGATTACCTCTTCCTTTATCACAGTCTTTATGGGATTAACTCCCCCTTTATCTTAGTCTTGACAGGACTACCTCCTCCTTTAGCTCAGTCTTGCTGAGATTACCTCCTGCAGTATTTCAGTTGTGTGTGTTTTCTCATTTAAACATAATCTAGAACCTATCAGTATTACTTAAATAAATTTTCATTAATGCATAATATTAAACATGTTAATTCTATTTACATATAATATATGTCATTAATACTTTATAAATGTTAAATAATCTGTTATTTCAGTATTAAAAAGAGATAAATCATAATTGTTTAACAAGTGTATTTTAAATATTAATATATTTCATTTTTACAAAAAGGTGGGAGTCACCATCGCCTAGCGGCTAGATGCTCGCGTGCGGATCGGATGGTCATGGGTTTGCTGCCTGGCGGAGCCGACTTTTTAAAAAAATGACATTGACTCCCAGGTCAACCCAGCCTTGAGTGGGTACCGGGTGCAGTCCCAGGAAGTAAAGGCGACTGGCATGATGCTGTCCACATCACCCATCTTGTGCCGATTAGTCTATAAAAATATAGGTCTAGCCCTATGCGCCTAAAGGTGTGGAAAAGGGACCTTTACTTTATTACAAAAAGGTAATTCATACTTGTTTTATAAACATATGTTAAATATTAATATATTTCAATATTACAAGAGGTAGTTCATAATTGTTTACATATGTAGTTTAAATATATTATATTTCAGTGTTACAAAGAGGTGATTCACAATTGTTTTACATATCTATTTATTTTTAATAATAATATATTTCAGTATTATAAAGCGGTAATTCATAATTGTTTTACACTGAATAGTCATTTTGCTCAACGATGTTTTATATTCTACATATATTTTTATACAATAAATATACAATTTTTCACACAGTTGTGCAGTTTTTCAAAATGTCTTCATTTGTTTATGTCCATCTTCAGGAAGCAGTAGTAAACTACTGAATGTAAAATTGTCTAGTAAAATAAAAACAAGCTAAAAAATGTTGGATTTGGTTCTGCAAGACCCTTAGAAGATATGCACATAACCTAATTTAAATCCATCATTCATCAAACATTCATGGGCTCAGGAGCTGTAAACTAAAATTAAACAATTTTCTGCTGTCCATCAAAATACTTTACATAATTTAAGATATTGCCAAAATCGATACAGCTCCCTTATAAATGTTGTAGTGGTGCTTAGTGAGCTTAAAGCTCCCAGGATTCGATGCATGTGCTATCATCATCAGATGACTTGGACAATTCTAAAGATTTAATCTCCAACACATCCTATCAAGGCACATACTGAGTTTCCTATGCCATGGTTAAAAGAATCTTCTCTCACTAGTCTTCTGTTATTAAGTCTATTGTTCCAGGAATCTTTCCTGTTGTTATTTTTTGTTTCAGTATGTCTCTCTCTCTCTCTCTCATATGCTTAGCTACTCTATGATAAAGAAGCAGATATAGTGAAAGCTCTCTGTTATAAATTCAACAGAAGCAACAGAGTTTTCATATCTGGACAGACTTATTCAGCAGGAAGTGAGCAGGGAATCTTGATGATACTTTGCTTGGGAGAAAAGACAACTGGATTTTTAGTCAGGTTGCAGCTGACACCATTAGTATGGGAACTTCTCATTGGGTACTGAAGAAGGGGTCAGAGCACGTTTGAGACTGTACCGAGTGCAGTCATGTCTATTCATTCATTCATTCATTTGTTCATTTATTCTCTTCTCATAATTGGGCCCAAAATGTTGAGTCTTTTTGACATTTGTGATTAATTGTCAAAGTGTCTTGGTCCTTTTCAAAAAATTAAAATCTTCAGCTGCCAGATGTTTTTTTTGTTTGTAAAATCACATTTCATTGGTTTCAAAGAATATTTGTGCTTATTTACAAAGTGTTGAATGACTCAAGTAATATGCTTTGTGCATTGGTGATAACGTACACGGACTACTCATTTAGAATATGAGTGAAGTCCGCTGACAAAGTACCCTACCTAATGATATAATGATTCAGGTTCAAATATCTGTCATCCGAAAGTCCTACTCTAAGACAACCTGTGGTTCAAACTAGGGCTGTACCGAATAGTGATTTTCACTATTCGGTCGAATACGAATAGCTGGACCAACTATTCAGCCAAATACGAATAGTGAATCATCATCATCAGGTGCTTTGCCGACTGACATGGGCAATTATGCCTCGCCACAATCTGCCATCTCCTGCAGCAAATATTAGTTCCTGTGCTGACACACCCCCATGCCATGCAACAAGACTGTCAAGAATCTTCTCTCATTGTCTTCCTCTATCCCTCCTTCCACAGATCTTTCCAGTGGTCACCACATGTTCCATTTCCCCTCATCTTATAACATGGCCGAAAAATGATGACTGTCTCCTTCTGATGTCTGTGAGTAGTCTTCGGGCTCCGGCCTCTTTTAAAACCTCTTGGCTGCTTT